ATAAATTTAAACTTTATTAAAGAAATTATAATAAAATATGAAATCAAATTTGAATCAATATATCCAAATGAGATATTTGGTTTAAATCTAAATCCCTAAATCTAGATACTCTATGGATCTAATTAAATTATTAATTATTGACCATAATTAGCTTGATCACCCTATACGTAGATACTCTATGGATCTAATTAAAGTCATCTAACCGAGGTGTAGACATTTCTTATATGGTTTATTTTATTTTGTCAAGCGTTATAATTAACTAATTAACAAATTGAGTTAATCCAATACTTGATTAATTGAATTAAGCCTAACACAAAGTAAAGTTGATTATAGTGGAATCTGATGTTTGATTGCGATTTGACCAACTCTTCTTGAATTCCTCGGCTTTCTTTGTTTTGGCCTTTAACACAACTAATACGCCATTTGTTGCTTGTTAATAACTGGAAAGGCACTCGTGCAATAGGCGGAGGATTAATTTTAGAATAATTATAAAAAACAAAAATCTGAATTATAATATTGAAACTAAAAATAAACACAGTGGATATATTCATTGAATAATTTTTTTAACATTTTTCTGAATTAAGTAAATACTAGATACGGACGAGATGAGAGTGCAAAAAAAAATGTATTATTTATTTTCCCTCAAAATATAATTTACTTTAATAGTTACTAAAATTTAATGGTAATTCTAAATAAAGAAAGTCAATACACTTAATTTATTAACAAAAAAAGCATACTTTCCATCATCTAAAATATTTTTTTAAAGACATAGTGATCAAAAGTAATATTTTCTGAAATGATAATGAAACATTTAGTGTTTCAAATTTATTTTATTTATCAATTTAATTCTTTAAATTTAATTTTTATCAATTTAATTTTATATACTAGCCATTGATAACAGAATAAAAATTTAATTTTATTCATCAATTACATTATATTTACTTTACTTTTTTAAAATAAAGATGATGTAACATGTTCAAAATCTGCTGATATTGATAATGAAATATTCATACCAGCCATGTAGATTAACAAAAAGAAGTGTGATTATATAAAAATTAAATTGATAAAATTAAACTAATTTTGGGTGAACTTGTTCTCATTTAGTTACATATACATGTCAAAATATCAACATACTTTATACATTAGATTAATTTGAAAGTCAATTTTTATTTTAAAATTTAAAGAACTAATGTGATAGATTAAAAAAATATAAAGAATTAAATTAATAAAAATTACGTTTGAGGAACTAAAATTTTTATCATCCCTACTGAAAATATGAATATTAGTATCATGATAAAGAAAAATTTTATATTTAATCAGCATTGATTGATAGGTCTTCATCTTGCCTAACAACACCCTGGAAAATACGTCGCACATTCATATTCATGCTAAACGAATACTGTTCACATTATATATGTCGATAGTGTCATTGATTAATTATATTTTTCACATGAATCAATATAAATCCACTTTGAAATCTACTTGGATTGTGTTTGTTGCAACATGTTTGTGAAAACACACATGGAAGCGAGTGATTTATATCAAAATCAAACATACACCAAAATTCTCAGATCCACTTTGGATTGTTTGTTTATGATCACAGAAACATGTGTTGTCATGTGAATGACATACATGATCAGTATAAATACTTGAAGTAGATCACCATCTCGTGCAAGAATCCACAGGTTGTCATTGGAAAAATCACATCTTAATTAGTCTATGAATTGAGATCGGACATAAGAAAACACATTCATTTGCATAAATGAATTGAAAAACGACAATTTAATTTACACGCAAATGAGGTATTGAAATCGTGAAAGGCCACCCGACAAATTATATGCATAGTTGAGCCATTGGCAAATATTAATCCAATTGTTAAGGAACTAGCTTGTAATACAAGATCATGAGATCAAATTTTATTATTGATATAATATCTTGTTAGCAGGCAAACCTCGGATATTGGGTGGTTCAATTAAAAAAAAAAATTTTAGATTCAAGCTTTAAGTATTTAATTGTGTTAAATACTTATTTGGAAAGTTTCCAATCATATTTTATTATCGTATAAGTTAGTTTCAAATATAGAGGTGGTAATTTGGGCAAATTTTATAAGTCAGTTTGAATAAGCTTGAAAAAACTTAAAGCGAGCTTGGGAGTTTAAAAGATTTTTTTTCACTCCGAGCTTATTTGAGTCACCCAAATAAACTTGAGCCAAGCTTAAACTTGAACGAGTTTAGGTAGAATACTCAAATATCTTTTTTTATTATAAAGATATTATAAAAATTAAAAATATGAATTTTTAAAATAAAGTTGAAATTAGATAAAAAATAAGAAATAAATAAAATAACATTTAACAATTCAGGTATTTGAACTTACTTGAAAGCTCAAGGGATTAGGGTTATACTTGATTATATGAGCTTTTTTTATATTATATGATATTTTAAATTTGATCCAAATAAACTTAACTCGAATTGAGTTCGACCTAAATAAGGCCGTCCTACTTGAATTATCAGCTATACTCAAATGTCAACTTATTCAAATCTCAAACATATTGTCCCTCTTTTTTTTTTTTTTTTTACAAAAGAGAAGATGTAATTTATATAAATCAAGTACAAATTAAAGCCAACCAACACCAACTCTACAAACAAAGTGCATCATTATTTGCAAAAGGAAGATGGTGTTCTTCAGATCCAATCCCACAAACTCATCTCCCTATAGAAAGCTTGGCATTATCAAAGCCAATTTGCTGTTGATAGAATCTAGAACTGAACCACTGAAGGAGAACAAAAGTTCTCAATGGACGAAATCAACTACTTAATTTATATATGTGTGTGTATTATGCCATCATAATAATTCATTGAATTTTGAGAGACACACACAACTTGTTCATACCTTAAAAAGAGTCCAAAAGACATAAAAAAAACCTGTCATATCAAGTAATTTAGTGGTGAACCAAGCCAAGAAGTTCTCTTATCTGCTCAATTCCTTTTATGGCATCTACTTTAATATTTTGGATCCTTTCAATTGCTGAGTTGTTGATGGGAGGAGAGAAATGTAAATAGAGACGGATTGGAATCCATCATTGTGGGTCTCACATGGCTCCCACCCTGTTGTGTCTTTTTAGCCCCGAGTAGGCCATACGGTATTATAAGTCAAAACTTGATTTGTTTATATTGAGTCAGATTTGAATAAGAGTTCTACCACTAAACCTCCCCGTATTTTAAAGATTCAAACTTGAAACATCTAGTTAAGTTGATATATCTCATTTACCAATTGAACCAATAGTTTGTTGGTTTCACTTGAGCAACAAAGATTTGGATTGATTAAGTGATGGGAAGAATTATTGTGATATGATTATTTGATATTTAATATTATCTCATCATTTTTTTATTGTTAGTAGACACTATATTGTATTTTTTTTAATATTTTTTATTTTAAAATATTTAAGTTAAGGGTATCTATTGATTATTTTAATAAAAGTTGAGAAATAAAAATGACTCTTAACATGATAAAAGAACATTTAAAAAATAGGGGCCCATTAATAACTAATGAATGTTAAGTGTTTTTAATGTCAGAGTAACGGCGGAGGAGATCTTTAAAGCCGAGAAATATAATTGACTCATAATTAAAATTAGGATCATTTGTCATATTTTGTGTATAGTTTAAGGTTAAAAATAATCTTTAACCCTTATGAATGAAAACATAAATTATCATTTTAAATAGAAATTACTGATACTCATAAGAATTAAAAATAAAATATGGCATTAAAACTTTGAAGATACGTACATATATTTGTTGGCCCAAAAAGAAAAAAGTAATATATGTTAACATGCTAAAAAAAATGCCTAATTAAAGCCCCTCTTTTTACTTAAACTTTTAAGAATCATAATCATAGAATTGGTCAAAATATTGATTTAAAGATTAATAGTTAAAATTATATTCAAATTATAATAAGATATTTCATGAATAAAATATTTTATTGAACTAATAATGATGCTAATTTAATAATTTATTAGTTCAACAAATTAAATTGATTTGATTTTTCAATATTGTATATGTTACTCTAAATTATCATTAGCCAACTTTGTTTACTATGAATCTAAATCTTTTCAAATTTGGATTGATGAATCTTTATGACATTTTCCTCTTGGGGGGGGGAAGATAAAATAAGTAAAAATATTAAAAAAAAAAGAAACTTCAACTAAATTCACAAATATTAACTTTAGATGACTTAAACCTCCTTTATTGTACTGGACTAGGCCTAGAAAATACAAAAGAATGAAAGGAAACTGTTTTTATTTGTTTATACACATCAATAAAAAGAACTGCTGTTTTTATTTTAAGATAAAAATATATTTTTGTTCTTAAAATACTTTAAATTATAAGTTGAAATAATTTTATCTTTAAATTAATTAAAATATACATTTTTATTTTTAATATTAAATTTTCTAACCATCAACATTAAAATATTAATTAGCTTATTTTAATTTTTAATATTTGAAAATCTGATAGGAGGAGTAAAAATATTTTATTTTAATCATTTTAACAATAAAATAATTTAAGGTGTTTTGTATTGCTTGAATATGAGGGAAAAAGATTAAAAACCTGTTTGAAATTATTTTTATTTTATTTTTTTGAGAATTAATATTTTATAAAACATGTTATAAGAATAAAAAATAATGAAAATAAATATTTTTTTATTTTTTATCCTCTAGAACACCAATACCAAAATATTTAAAAAATATTTTTATTTTTATTTTTAACAATATTTTTTAAAAATACGTTATTAAATTTTTTTATTTTTTATTCTTAAAAATAGAAAATTATTTTTAGAATACGTCGCCAAACATATCCTAAAAATAAAATTACCCTCATTCTAACTTCATTGAAAAACGTTCCACTATCGTGCGCCGGCTACGCGCGATGCGCACACCCTACTGCTTTTAATTTTACCTTCTCGTCTTCAAGAAGTCACACGCGAAGCGTCCTCCGCACTTTGCGTATCCAAGTCCAACTCTCTTTCCCCCTCAGTGGTTAAACTGCGTTGACTGGTATAAAATCTCTCCTTTTTTTTCAACTTCCTTCTCCAATTTTCTTCTTTCCAACGCACCACCCTCCTCTGCCCTAATCTTCCCCTCCCTTTCGCCGGAGAACTGTCGCCTTTACCCTCTGCCGATCAACGCCGGTTCTTATCTCGTCGGCGACTTCCTTTTCAGCCTTAGCTGTTTCTTGATTTTGTTCTCTGTAGGTCCATCTCCGGCCTTGTTACCAAGATAGGGTTCAGGAAACCCTAGGTATTTTCTTTGCTATTGGTGCTGCTGCGGGATGAGCTCAGAGATATGTTTTGGAGTCCTCCAGCTCATTGGCTTATTTAACCTTATATTTGTCTCGTTGGGTGATTACTGATTAGTTGGCCACTTTCCTTGTTTTTTTTCCCCCTTTGTGGTTGCTGTTTGCTTTGGAGAGTTTTATCGATATGAAGAGGTTGAGGTCTAGCGAGGATCTCCATTCGTACGCAGACAAAAATGGCTGCAAGGATTCGAATCTGAATCGATCCTCGTCCTCTTCACACCGAAGCTTTTACTACAAACCTGAGAATGTACGGAAGGGATTACTTTCCTCATCGTCTTCGGCGTCTCGGTATGACAGGGATCGAACGATGGATGAGGATCGGGAAGGCTCCCGGTTGGTCCGGAAGCGATCAGACCATGATTTTGATAGTTTTGATCGGAGAAAGGGGTTTGATCGTTACAGGGACTCTGGAGATAGTAGAGGATACGGAGCTGGAGGGGATAGGGGTTTGATTCGGTCGGAGAGTTTTTGTGGCTCTAGGAGGGATTTTCCGAAGGGCTTTCGGTCGGAGAGAGACCGGTCCAGGCGGGAAGGCAGCGTGTCTTCGTGGCGGAGATTTGGTGGTGGATTAAAGGATTTTGATGACAGTGGCAGGGGTAGCAGGGTCGGACTGGAAGATAGAGTAGTGCGGTCTCCGAAGAGTTTGAGGGATGTAAAATCCCCGACACGGTCCAGAGATTCAGAGAGTGATCAGTCTAAGATGAGGTCTCCTCCGAGAGGGTCAAGAGATGCAAAGTCGAAGTCGAAGTCTCCATCTTGGTCCAAGGATTCAGAGAGTGAACAGTCGAGGAGTGAGCAATCGAAGAGTGTTGAGGTGAAGAAAACTGAGGAATTGCAGGTTGAGAGCCGGAGTAGTAGTGAAATGGAAGAAGGAGAACTGGAGCCAGAACCCATGCCTGAAACAGAACCACAAAAGGCTTCGAATGCTGCACCTAAGGATGAAGACCAGACCTCTATTCCTTTGAACGCTGCTGAGAAGGAGATCCAGACTGAAAACCAGCTCAATGAGACAGATACTACCATGCATGAAATACCGGAGGAGCTAAATAAAGAAGAGGCAAAACCAGAAGAGGATACCAATCCAGCTGAACAGAATGTGGAGAAAGATGAAATACCGGAGGAGTTGCCAGATCTTCAGAGTGATCCAACTGTTAAAGTGCATGACACTGAAAATGAAATTGAAACTTCTGTTCATAATGATAACAAGGAAGAAGACGGTTTGAAAGTCGAAACCTCATGTAAGGGGGAAACAAAGGAAGGTGGCGAGCAGGAGAAGCCATTGCTTTATGAAGAGAAGCATAAGCAGGACAAGGGTAGAGATCTTGAAACCAGCGCAGACTCTGACAAACCAGAGCTACGGAAGGAAGTTTCAACAAAAAATGAAATGCTTAAAGCAGATGGGAAAATGACGGAGACTGTGACCAACAATGTGAAGGATAAAGGCAAAAGTGTCTCTGTTGCCCCTACTGATATTGCACATCCTTCTGAAGATGGTTTGTGGAATGACAGAGGACCAAGAGATCTCACTGCATGCTCTGGCGACGCCATGGAAGGTCCAAGCACAAGGGGCTTTGAGTTGTTTTCCAGATCTCCTGTTAGGAAAGCGGAGCAAACTGACCAATCAAGCCTTAGCAAACATAAAGGTGGAAGTCTTTCAATGGAGGGGCTTGATCTTTCTCTTAGCTTGCCTAATGTTTTGTTACCTATTGGTGCCCATGAGACTACACCAGCCCCTGGATCCCCCAGTCAAGCTCGTAGTGTACAGTCTTTAAGTACATTTCGTACCAACTCAGAAGGATTTACTGCGTCAATGTCTTTCTCAGGTTCTCAATCTTTTTATCACAATCCAAGCTGTTCTCTCACACAAAATTCTGTCGACTATGAACAATCTGTTCATAGTCGCCCATTATTTCAGGGAATAGATCAAGTTTCTCATGGAGGCTGGCAAGGTCAGTCTCAGACTGATCCCAAACACAAAGAAATTCCTTTCTGTCAAGGAACCTTGATTAATGGCACCGGCACTTTTTGTCAGTCTCAAGCAACGTGGGGTATTTTGGATGGTCAAGCTGTGAAAGGTCAGCCTTCTAGGGTTCTAGAAGGTAGCTCAAAAATGGCCAGTGGACTTGACAGGCAATTGAGTTTTCCTAAGCAGCTGTCAGGACAGTCAAGGCGCCACGATGATGTTAGATCTCCTTCACAGAGTGTTGGTTCTCATGACATTGGATCAAGTTATAGTTTCGACAAGAAGAGAGAAATGAGAGACAGGAGTAATGGTAGTTTATATAGATCTGCAAGCCAAAAGGATCAAGAACAATTTCCAATGGGTGGAACTGAGTTTGTTGAAGCAATCATTGCAAAAATATTTTCTGAACCAGTTCTTGTGATGGCTAAAAAGTTTCATGAAATGACTGGGCAGTCTCTATCATGTTTGAAAGAGAGCATTTGTGAGATTATGCTTAATGCAGAGAAGCGTAGGCAAATACTTCCATTTCAGAAAGTTCTGCAGAACAGGTCTGATATAACCTTGGAGGTTTTACTAAAGGCTCATCGAGTTCAATTGGAAATTCTGGTTGCTTTGAAAACAGGTTTAACTAATTTTATTCAGTTAGACAACAGCATTTCGTCTACTGATTTAGCCGAGATCTTTCTGAACTTAAGATGTAGGAATCTTTTATGCCGAAGTCAGTTGCCTGTGGACGAATGTGATTGCAAAGTTTGTGCACAGAAAAATGGCTTTTGCAGGGAATGTATGTGTCTTGTTTGTTCAAAGTTTGACAATGCATCAAATACATGTAGTTGGGTCGGGTGTGATGTTTGCCTTCATTGGTGCCATACAGACTGTGGATTACGTGAATCATATATTCGAAATGGACACAGTGCTACTGGGGTACAAGGGGTAACTGAGATGCAATTTCATTGTATTGCCTGTGATCATCCTTCAGAGATGTTTGGTTTTGTCAAGGAAGTGTTTCTAAATTTTGCAAAGGATTGGTCAGTTGAAGCTCTTTGCAAGGAACTTGAGTATGTGAAGAGAATATTTTCTGCCAGCAAAGACTTGAGGGGGAGACAGCTGCATGAGGTTGCTGGTCAAATGCTGCTAAGGTTGGCAAATAAGTCTAACCTTCAAGATGTTTATAACCACATCATGTCTTTCCTAAATGGTAAGTATTGGATATCTCGATGATTAAATAGTTTTACTGTCTCTTTTGATTCCATGTTTGCAGTCTATTTTTGCAGCAGTTAAATCTGTGCCTTTTTGTCTACGGAAAAGCAAGCTTAGTGATTTATGAGAACCAAATGGGTGTGTTGGTTTATCTTCACTTTGAGCAATTACATTCCATAGTGCTTGGTTGCCTTCCATTGAGTTGGGCCAGTTGAGAATGCATGCCACATATGCCTTTTCTTTTCATAATGAGATAGGGTCAGCACTTGTACTGCAAGCTGTTCTTGCTGTCTGCATAACATACATGAAACAAATTGTTGGTTGAAATCTGAATTGAGTAATTGTCTGAAGTTTTGTATGGTGAAATTGTCGTTCTATTTTTTAAATTTGATATTTTCCTTTTTTTACATTAAAAATTAAAAAAATAATACTAAAACTCCAATGCTGACTGGTGAAGCCTGACCTTCACTTCAGGGGGTATACGGGTACGTCAAACTGAACAGCTTTAATAAGCTTAACTAGTGTTCCCTGTGGATTTCTGGAATGTTCTTGGTGAACATTCCACATTGTTTCAAGACTTGGTAATCTTTTGGCCCTTCATTAATTTAGACCACCATCAACATGCAATATAAAACAGCTTAAAACTTTTCATTAAATCTAATTGAAGGAGCCAGGACTGAGTCGTTTTGCTTCAGCAGGTTTTTCTTTTTCTCTTTCCTTTTTTTGAGTTTTGGGCATTATATGGAATTCATCTACTGATATTATCACGTGTTATTTTCTTTCTATTGAGTATAAATAGGAGTTGAATGAAAATAGGCTAGACAATATTTCGTGGGTGCAACCAATCTTTTATAGGAAATTAAGAAATCACACATCATCATGAAATTATTAAATATTGTTTTTTGAAAAAAAAAAAAAATCTATTGGCATGTATTTCCTTCATTGAATTTTTGCGACACTAGCAACTATAGCATTTGTAGAACCGAGTTTCATGGAGCTGATTTATGTTTATCATTATTGTTATTGCAGATGGAGATTCTTCCAAATCAGCCTTGACACACAACTTTCCTGCGAAGGGACAAATTAAAGAAAAGAATGCAGTTGCTGAGCCCAGTCAGGAAGCTGCCTGGATGAAATCTATTTATTCCGAAAAGATGCCTTTGTTAGAAAGGCCAGCAAACATCCTTTCGAGCTACGACCGGAATGATAAACGGACTCCACCACAAGAGTTGCCGATGAATGTCCAAAAGGATTATTGTTTTGATGAATTGGAGAGTGTAATTAAAATTAAACTGGCAGAGGCTAAATTGTTCCAAACACGTGCGGATGATGCCAGAAGAGAAGCTGAAGGCCTGAAACGCATTGCTCTTGCAAAGAATGAGAAAATTGAAGAAGAATATGTTAGCCGACTCTCAAAGTTGCGATTGGCTGAGACTGAGGAAATGCGTAAACAAAAATATGAAGAACACCAGGCATTGGAAAGAGCGCATGTGGAGTACTTTAACATGAAAATGAGAATGGAAGCAGACATTAATGATTTGCTACTGAAAATGGAAGCGACCAAAAGGAGTCTTGCCATGTGAAAATTTTTAGTCTAGCTCTCAGGTAAATGAAATGTTTGATTATGAAAATTGTAGGTTTTAGTTTTAGTTCATCTTATTATTGTGAGTTTCTGTAGTTCTTGGTTTCTAGGTGTATCTATTTGTTGTAGTAGTTCATTTTAGTTTTGTTCTGCTAACCAGAATCTGCACAGAGATCACAACAGTTATTAGTCTTATAAAAACAGTTCCATTCAAGAAAGCAATTTAAAGAAATGATTATGAAATTTGAACATATGCTTAAAAGACTTCCCAACAGTTATTACTCAATTCACTGCATGGATGTCTCTGTATTGCAAATCCAAGGGGTTATATCTACATTGCTTCTGGAAATGAGAGCCTGTGATATGGTCTGATCCTTGCTATAACTTAATTTAAAACAGCCTGTCAAATGAATATAAACATTATTTTAGCCTCTGTCCGTTTGGCAACGTGTTAGTGTGTGTTTAGATAGCATCTTAACTTAGGTTGGGATGTTAAAAGTGCAAGTAATCATGTTTGGATGACAAAAAACACTCAACTAATGTTAGGATCCAAATGAGTGTATTTCACATAGCTAGATGGGGTAGCTTTTACTAGGGCTGCACAAAAGACTGGACGGCACTGGACTTCACCCTAACCTGAAGTCCGGTCTCTTTCATGAAAAAGATTGGGTTAGGCAACCCGTAGTCCAGTCTTGTCTAGTAATAACCCGAAGATTAACAGGACCGGACTTAGTCCATAGGACTGGGAGACTGGTCCTGTCAGTCCAGTACTCACTTAGCTTTTTTTCCCTCTTTTTATTCTATGAGAGGCAATAATCCATTCCAACATAATAAACTCAATTAAGATAGTAAAAATACTTATAATAATAATAAATTCATAATAATTTCTAACGATAAGAAAAAAAATATTTTTGTTATAGTCTAAATTATTTAAATTTATAAATTTTAATAAAAACAGTACTCAAAAAATTCAACAACACTATATTACAATAACAATTTAGAAACAAACTTAATAAATCTTTATGCAATCATCTCCTTAGCATCAATTACACTTTAAACATTTGTCAAAAATAATTAATTATAATTATAATAAAAAAAATTAATAGGACTGGACTGGACCAAGTGGTCCGGATGCCTGGTCTCTTGTCCAGTCCAACCCGAAAAAATAGTCTGGTCTTTTTAGTCCTTTTGGTCCTGAAGGACCAGTGACTATACAGACCGAACAAGACTGAGACCATCTCGGGTTGGACTGGACCAGACAGGACTGGGAGACTTTTGCACAGCCCTAGCTTTTACAATGAGCGTAGGCAGACTAATGGTCGTTGGGGAGCATTTTATGCTTCCAAACGAGGGTCCGTCTACTTCCTTCCATGCTCCTTTTCAGTTCCACGCAACTCCACTCCTGGGGACAACTTTTTGACTTGTAGTGATATGTTGAGATGACTGTTGGTTGAATGAGAATAAAAAAGAGGACAGGAATAGGAAGAAAATAAGTTTGGTAGTGTTAGACCATAGCTTAGCCCATGTATATCAATTCATAATTTTGCTAGTCCATTCATATCAATTCTTTTAGAGTTTATATAATTTGGACTGGTTGGGCTTATTTTGGTAGATTTAAAATATTTTACCTTTTTTTAAAAAATGTCATAGTTAAGTCTGATTTTAATTTTTTTCAAGTAAGTTTGAGCTGGCTTGTTGGGTTTAACTTTAATTACTGATTCTAAATTCTTTTGCCATCAACTTATAGTTCATATTAATTGAGTATTTTGTAATTTATGAATTTATTTTAGCTTTTTATAATTGAATTTTTAAGATTTTTTACTTATTAATTCTAATTTTAAGTTTAATATTTTAGACTTATTAATTAGTCAAAACAATATATTCAAAAAAATTCATGTTTATTTTTATCATTAAATATTTTAATTAACTTTTGATCAAATCATTCAAATAAATTTTAATTTATATAACTAATTTTTTTAAAAAGGTATTTAAATATAAATTAAATTACATTCACGGACTATTTTATTAGCTTCAGTTGAATTATAACTTCAATTATAATTTTTTTAATTCGAATACACACTTAGTCATTTGACTGGCCTCACTAGGATTTGCGTTTTCTCAAGACAGTTTCATCTGTCATTTATTTATTTTTGGTTTTTATTGTCTATTATTCTCGTGTTTAATCTGAGTTCCATAGCCTGGGCCAGTCACATCGGGTGGGCGTTAGCTGATATTCTTTCCGTTTAATATTATTTACTAAATTTCTAATTGAATTAAATTCAAAAGGTATTTTCTTTTCAAAATACCATGTTAAAAATATTAGGTATTTTGGGCTTTTCATAGTGTAATTATAAGGTGTAATTAAAAATGTAGTTAATAAAATTTTCTAATTAACATTAAATAAGAATAAATATAAAAATTCATTTGGAAGTGTAATTTGATTGAAAATATCTATAATTATGGATGAAGGGAGTATTAATCTGATGGATTATAAGAAGACTCCAAAGGAAATGGGATGAAGGGAGTACTAATCTGATGAAGGGAGTATCTATAATTATATTTTTTTTCCCAATTTCTTTTTTTCTTTTTTTTTTCCCCAATTTCTGGTAATAATAAGTTGTTGACTCACAGCCTGTTCGGTTTTTCGTCAAAAGTCTATTTGATCTTATATTTGGAATGTATTTTTGTCAAATCAAGAAAAAATTATCTATTATGTCAGGTTTAACTTGCGTTCTTTGTATTGTCATTTTGGGATGGCTTGTTCAGAGTTGATTTAGATGGTTTACATTTTATTATTTGAATTAGAATAGAATTATTATTATTGTAAAAAAGAATTAAGGATAGAAAAACATAATTTTTAAAATTGATATTATTAAAGATAGTGATTAAAATGGAAGAGAAGAATGATTCAATTTCAATTTGTTTACCAAAATTTTGCTAATATCAGTGGTACGTATGGGTTTAACTCACTCGAAATAGATGGCTAAAAATGTGTTTTGGGCCTTGAACAAGACAGATTTAAACTGACAAATTAATGAATCTAACTAAAGCTCTTCAAAATAACCATATATTCTAATTCAAGTGTATTAATTGAACTATATTCTGGTATCAAATCTTCGCAATCTGTGAATGTCAAGAATAATGCTCAAGCTCAGCAGACAGACAAATACACGGTTAGGAATGGAATAAGAAATCATTTCAGTTCATGTAGTACAAGGTTATGAATGACAATTGCTAATAAGAAATCATTAGCAAAATTATGTTATTTTTCAGTTCACATTCAGTTAAAAGTTGTCGCAAATCTTAAGAACGAGCTGACAGCTCACTTGAGCAAGATACTCAAAGACTGTCTTCTCCATCAAAGTCAGAATCCTCACTAGCCTCACCATCATCTTCAGGCTCACCGTCACTTTCGCTTTCACTCAATACATATGTTTGTGGTCTGCGAATAACCCTCTGAGGTCTAGCTCTTGGTGCTGCTGAAACTTCAACTACCTCATCTGCACCAGGCGATGTAGAAGCAGAACCAGACATTTCTTCACTTTCAGTTTCATTTTTGTTTGAAACCTTGGCCAGCATGGAACCACTTTTCTTGTTAAATGGGGATTCTCTCATCTTCCTTACTTTCTTCTCCGGTGAAATCCCTGAACCATCCGCTGCTGGCTTCAACATGTCAGTAATAAATTTCTGACTCAGCATCTGAGTTTTCTTGTTGGCTGCCACACCTCTCTTCCTGGTGGCTGCTGCTGGCTGCTTTTTGGCAGCATTCTGAGCAGCAGGTTTCCTACCTCGCCTCTTTTTCTCTGGTTCTGGGACAGGCTGCTTCTGCAACTCAAAATCATCATCTTCTTCTTCATCATCGCCACCAACGTTTTCACTATCAGAGCTATCCAAAACTGTGACAGCTGAGGACTTATTTTTTGCGGCAGCCCTTTTGCCATGTTCTCTCTTTCCAGCAGCAGGCACATGGGGTTCTTCAGTTTCCATGACTGCTTAAAGCAGATAATTAAGTTAGCGTACCACTATATCAGGATAAGCAACATCCTCATACAGAAGCTATCGCATGAGAACATTTTACCAGTAGAATTATTACTCCCAGATGGTCCAAGGTTATATGCAGCAAGGCGTTCTTGAAGGGATAGCACTTCATCATCCTCATCATCCTCGTCCTGATGACAAGTTTCAGGTCAGGTTAATGCTCACAAGGGCCAAGGCAATATACATGGGAAGAAAAGGTAAAATACTTTACATACCTTCTTCTTAGTCTTAGTAGGAACTTTCTTGGTAGCTCCCCTGCCTTTTGGTTTAGCAATCTCAGCAGGTTTCTCTGATGATGCGAATGAAAAGAAACCCAGATGGACATTAGAATTCTAAGCTTCTACTCATGGCATTCTAATATGCGTTCAAGATAATACTAGCAATTAAAACTTACCAACTTCCATTGAAGTAGATATTGTTTCAGTCTCTGGCTCAACGACTTTATTGTTCTTTCGCGGTCCCCGCTTAGAAGGAGCTTTTGTGGGAACAGCCCGACCAGTCCTTTTATTTGCTTGACTTGATCTCTTCTGCTCCTCCTCTGCCTCCTTTCTGTCCAAATCCTGAAAAATACCATCACATTAACAAATGAAACTCAACACTTTCAAGTATAAGAAAATTAATGAGGTTGGATATTGTCCCCTACATCAAGTTTCTTCTCCAGCTCATCCAGATCCGTCAACCACATAGTCGTTGGTGGTGTGGCCTTCAAAATCTCATACTCCCTGGTCTTTTCATCCTTTTCATTTAGTAGCTTCTGAACACTTTCAATAGTCAAAGTTCCTATTGACATTGACAATAGATAATCGTAATCACCAAAACTTGCTCTTTCAGCATTAGCAGCCTTTGAGCCATTTTCCTGCTCTCCAGAACTGTCATTCTCCTGTTCTTCTGAGTTGTCATCATTCGCCCCAGCAATTTGTGGTTCTGCTGATTTACCTTTCCTTGGCATGGGAGTGAAACCTTTCTTCTTCAGCTCCATCAACAAATCAGCCTTTTTTCGGTTACTCACAACAATCTCTCCGCTTACGACCCCTAAGATAAACCTGACTTTGTTGTCCAACACCAACAAAAGTCGTTCAAGATTGCCTAATTTATATTTCTGCATTTCAACCAAATTGAGTATAAGTTCTTCCCTCATTAAAGCCTAGAGATGAAAATATAATCTTATGACCGTCATAATAATCACTTACCTTTCTTCTCTCATAATACTCCAGC